CACTCTTTCAGTGAATGAAAGACCAGAAAAATGCTTGGGATGAGTACTGCAGTCTTCTATTTATTTGTACTGTGTATACATTGGAAGCTGTGTAGTGGACTTAGTCTCAACAGGACAAGATGGCATGCAGTCGGGAAAGCAGACCAAATTTGCCAGAGCTCAGGAGACAGCTCAGAGGATGTTGCTGTGAGTGCTATCTCCACATGCACCAGTGACCTCCCATGGACCACTGTGCCATGTCCCACTTGGCCAAGCCTGTAGAGCATCTCTGCCAGCTGCCATGGGGCAAAGATCAAGTCAAAGGTGTGGAGCTCCTCAGCAGAGAACTCCCCCACACAAACCTGAGGTTCACAGAGGATTCAAATGTGAAAGTGACCCTGGGCTGTTATTCCATGTTTTAACTATTTTGAGACATCAATTTGCTTTAACAGGATTTCCCAGCGGTCCATCAGCCAGCAATGGGCAGAGGCCTGGCCATTTCTCAGGTGCTCCACCACATGTTGGGCAGCACTACAGAGGGTCACAGTCTCAGAGAAACTCTTGCTGGCCCAAAGCCCTACACTGCCAGGACTTCACAGCCCTGAATTGGCTGATGTTTTTCTCCCATGGGAACCATCTGTAGCAACATACTAAGTGTCTGTGACAATGTACTAAATGCCACCCCTCACTCAATAGCCTGCTTCTTCCCTCTTCTCTGCTCCCAGTCCTTTGAGGGATTGCTGTTAGGAGCTATTATATTGTGTTAACCAGAGAAGGGAAGGACAGGAGGAAGGTCTTCCCCTTCCTTTCTTCACTGAGATTGTTTACTTGCTTTTACTACTTATGCTTAAAAAGGGCCTTTGAAATTCATACAAATGATTACTCGAGCTTTGCCACCAGAAAATGGGAAGGCAGCACTCGGTAATGGCATCCACCCACCCAAGATAAAAGGGGAAGTTCAGGCTAGAGAGGACAATACTCTTCCTTCTGCTCTTAGGCTAGCACAGACAACCTCAGTCTCATCAGAAATCCTTTCCCTAGCACCTTCTCTGAAATTACACCACCCTGTGGTGGTTTGACTGTAGGACTTTCATCTTGTGCCCCACTCTGAACTACTTTGACCTCTGCTCTGTTAATCCAAACTAACTAGGAAGAGAGTAAGCACAGCAAGGCGACACTGTGTTGGCAAGGGATAAAAACGGCAGAAAATTAGCTTCTCTTTCTTCAATCATGTTTAGTACTACAGCTCTAAAGGAACTCTGAAGATGATTCTTCAAGGCATTGAAGAGAGAGGGTTCCTATGGAAACATCTGCAGAAAATGAGAAAATATACAAGATCTGGGATGATATGACATGCAAAAGACAGCAATAGAGTGAGCACAGAAGCATAACAGTAGGGAGAAGGAATCAGCAGAAGGCCAGGGCTGCCCATCCCACATGATCAAAAGTTACAAATGCAGTTCCATTCAAATTATGAGATTGGCCAAACACTACATAGGCTTTGGGGCACTTTAAACAAGAGATTTTAGTTCATACATATCTGTTCTTTAAAACTTTGAGATTAGGGTACCAAGTGTGTCCAGCCTGCAGGTTAGAACTTTGCTTTGCTTTTTAAGTAAAATTTGCATAATGCTTTTAATCACCACTGGATATAGATGAGTCTTTCATTTAGATATAAGAAGGATACAGTGCAGAAGATGCTGTAACAGGAAACACAGGGATTCAAACTATGTCAGTGGGGAAAGAAGCTAATGTCCCTCAGTTGGTACTAATGGGGAAAGAAGCTAACATCCCTTCCTGTGTCCCAGTGCTCTGGTGAGTACTTGAAAGACACCAAGCCTTCTGAAGGGGGTTAAAGCACCTAAAGCAGAAAACAGAAGCTGAGAGCAGAAAGAACATCTCAAAGGAAAGTGATGAAGGTAAAAGTGATAACGGCTTTGGCAGTGTTGTTTGAAGAAGAAATAGCTGAAATAGCTGATGCAAAAGCCACAAAGACATTACATTCTATAAGAGGCTAGCAAGACATGAATAGAATTAGTTGCAGAGAAAGAATATGGAAGAGAAACAGGACAAAGAAGGACTTGCAGCAGCCTGAACACATGGAGTAGAGTCCATTCAGATTCTTCATCAAAATCTTTATGTAGTACCCCTAAAGTCCTGAGAATTTCTTCTTCATTACCATTTCAACTCCATTCTTTCTCAACTCATTTGACATAATGCCTCAGTTTTTAACTCCTATATATTAATCCTGTGAAGCTGGACCTCAATGGTCTATACTCACTGCCTGGGATAAGCTCTTCCTTGCCCTTTAAGGCACAAAACTCAACAAATCCTTCTCGAAAACCCTTCTCAACTGTGTCATTTACCCCATAGCCATGCCTTGCACAAAGCTCCCTGCTGTGAATCATTCCTCCAAACTTCATTGAGTTCTTTGGGAAGGACCTTGTCTCTTTACTTGACATCAATTATCCTTCTCAGTCATGCCGTGATATCTGAGTCAAGAAGGCTGCACCAGCCACTATCTCAAGAACTTGCATGAAGAAAGAGGATGGGTAACAGACTCAAGGTGAGTCTCTGACACCATCTGTATTTTCCTCTTCTACAACATACTGTTACCGACAGAGCATTAAGACACTAACCTGTACACAACTAAATTTAACTTGAAAAAAGCAAATTCAAGGGCCCAGTTGTCTGAAGTTCTCTGCATATAGCTGACTTGTACAGCATTCTCAACTCCACAACTGAAAAAACATGAACAAGGCCCTAGAGTCACAGCATCAGCTTTAAAACAATGAGATAGACAGCTGTAATATTTGGTTCTTTTTATTTGCCCCCTGCTATCAAGTCATTCCTCCCCCCAGCCATCAGTGCAAGGAGTTTACTTAAAGAAAAAAAGGAAAAAGTAGATTAGTCTTTCATGGAGTAACAGCCAGAAACGTTTAGTCTAGACCTCTGTTAACATCACAAAACCTTCTTATATTTTAACATGACAAATTTGATTCTTCCTGAATGTGGTTAACTCAAATTGGTTGTGGTAAAACAGAGTCACTTCGATACCTTAGAAACTAATCAGGATTAACTACTGAGGCAAGTAAAGCAGCTCTGAGCAGATGCTGCTTTGTACCAAAGGCTAGAAGGAACCGCCCAGGCTCTACGCTGGAAGCCCACAGCCTGTGTAGCCCTGTCAAATGAGCCTCCACTGCCATCATCTGGTACAACCCGTACCCGGTAGTACAACACATCAAGTGTGGCTCCCAACCAAGACAAAGCATGTGCGAGACCAGGGCAGAAGGATGTACTGAGTCACAGGAAGGTTTGGGGATTCCCTTCCCCTGCAAAAAAAACCCCCAAACTCTTCTCTCTGAGTTCTTGGTTTTGGGCTTAATGTTCTAAAGTCAATGTATCTTCAATAATGACTGGAGAAATCTAAAAATGGTCCACCTGGGTGCAAAAAATTTCTCAGTCTAAAAGGTATTCAAAATTTAAGAGAGCAGACAGATTCAATGCAAATCAGGAAACCCATGAGGTTTGGGGTTGTTTTTTTTTTATAGTCAGCCATCTCTCCATATACTCTCCCTATGTGGTTTTCATAATACTGGGTCACACAGTAAGAAAAAGACATCGGGGCAATTATTCATGGATTTGGGAACTGGGGTCATGCACTGACAATAATTAATAGCATCTGCTTTAAGTAACACTGTACCTAAATACATTTTATTGTTTCCATTCTCTCTCCCCACCTCTCTATTTCCACCATTCCTTCATGGCTTTGCATTACTCTGTTGCTGAAACTTGACTCACCTGAATTGCTTAATTTATCCAGCTATTTGACTTTCACCTAAACAAGCAGGTCCTTATTCAATACAGGTAGTAGTAAGAGAGAATAATTCATAAATACAGGCTCCAAAGAGTCAACAGCCCATATTAAGAGTTTTTCAAAATCCTTCCTTCTTATGACAGAAAAAGTTTATTTCAAGGCACAATTCATCTCAGACCTCTCAGAGCATTAGGCCTGGGAAAGTACAGGCAGTGCAGCACCTTGAAGTGATACTAGTTCAGACCCCAAAAGCTGCGTAACTTAGTAGGGTTATGTACTGAGCAAGTTGTCCATGTATCTATATAGAGTACTGCACTGGCAAAGAATTTCTAGGGCTAGGTTCACAGATGCTTACCTATTGCATGATATAGACAAGCTACATGAAGCCCCATAGGGCTGGAGCAGCATCTGATCATACAGGTCCTCATTCCCATTCCTTTCCCACCTATGAGACAGCCCTGCAAGCAAGGAACTCTTACCAATGGTTGTTATTGCAGAGATGGAGAAGAAGAAAGACCCACTGAAGTCCCACCTGCCCAGGCTAGTGGTGTTTCCCTGGAGGGTTATGCCACTCTTGTAGGCTTGGATGATACCCTGCAAAGAGACAATAATGTGAGATCCCACAACTCGCCAGTCACGCGAACTAGCTGTAAGGGATTTCCAGTGCTGGCTGGTAAAGTCACAAGCTACAACTACTCATTCTGTTGTTTCCCTTTCAATAGAGGATAACCCGTACCTTAGAGACCAAAGAGCTGAGGGGTCAGAAAAGCCAGAAGCCAACACATTGGTTCTAAGCAAATGGTATCAACAAAATAAAAGAAAGTTGCACATGACAGATCAGAGGTAGATGTGGAAGAGATTGGAGGGCAACAGCTACCTAGAGAAAGCCTAACCAAGTAATTATTAAGACTGATTTATGACATTCATTAGGAAAAAGAAAGTGTTTCCAGATGGATATTCTGACGGCAGAAGTCCCAGAGCAGTGAATATACCATGCACATGCATGGTATATATGGTATATCATTATATATATCCCTTGCCTGTACGGGGGAGGAACATATACAGTGTGATGTAGGAGATGGGGACCACAGGATGGCCAATCTGCTAATATTCAGCAATACGTCCCCACATCAGGACTATAAATATGAACAAATGGATTAGATTAGCATGATGCCCAATTCAATGTTCAATCCACCAGGGAAAAACTCAGAAGTCACTACGCTGAAGTGTGCAGTTATGCCAAAATAAGGTATCAGATGTCTTAACAGCGCTGACATCTGACTATACCTTCTCACACCAATAAAGTTAGTGACATTGAACTGAATTGTGTCCAAAACAACATTAATCACAGCACGTACTCTAAACAGTTCACACCCACTGACCGAGAATCCTTGAGAGCTGATTATCCTGGAATGCAAAGTCTAGCCAAGAATACATAAAATGCATCACCTCTGAGACAGATATGCAGATACCAAATAATACTATCCCTATCCTAACAATAAGGCTACTGATAAAGCCTTCACCAGTGGTAATAAAAGGAATCACTCCCAGGTTAGATTTACATCAGCTGTGGGTTTTCAAAGAAGCTGTAGTTTATACTTCCATCAAGCAAACCAACAACTTCAAGCCTGCAAAGCAAGGACGCTTGTCCCATTTTACTTCCAGCATGTTACATCAGTAATTTATATACTACTATACAGGGCTGTGAATTAAAAATTTTCCAGAGACCCAAGCAGCAGCTTAACTACAAGGACTATTATCTCTTTTCTCCAGAGCTACTAGTTCTCACAGTAAGAGCACAGAGCAGCTCAAAGATCAACACATTTTTCCAAGTAAGAAACACTGATAGTCACATTCTCAGAAACATCTTCATTTACTCATAACTCAAGGCAATTTAAACCAGTCAGGGTCACTTTACAATCTATTGAAGTCTGACAACATGCTCTTCTCTGCACAAGACAGAGCAGAGAGCCCTTGCGCTGAAAAGGGCTAAGGACCAGACGCTATATTACATTATGCTTCCTCCTGTGAATTGTTGCCATAACTTGAGTGGGGCAACTCAAAGAAAGAATTATTATGCAGCATAAGTGACATGAAAGAATCAAGCCCCTCTCCCCCCACCTCCAAAAAAGAGAGACAAAAAAAGGTTGTATCAGGAAGTCTCCAGAGGGATTTGTTTTTAATAGTTTGTGTGTAATTTCCCCCCATCCTTCTTCCAGGGCTGGTACCTGCACTGGGGGTTGTCAGGTTATATGGGATGCAGGCTCTGACCTTTCTCTGTTCTCTTTGATCTCTGACAATACTTGACCTCAGGCTTAAGAAATTCTGCAGACAATGGCCTAGTCAGGAATCACAGTTCCTATGAACATAAAATAACTCCCAAACTAAACCATATGGCAAGGGAGACACTGGAAATTTATACAGATGACCTGTATTTTTTTCCCCTCCAGAAACTAGTGGTTAAATTTGAAAATAAAAAGCATGTTATTTTCTCAACCTTTCCTTCTGTAGCCCGTGATCTCTGCAGTTCAAGTAAAGTCTTGAACACATATACACCTGCTGGAACAGCAGCAGTCCAGCTCAAATTTATTATCAGCTTGATCAGACTCAAAAACCTACACATGCAGCATGTTTTTTGTTTGTTCTCCTGCCTGATGTCCTGCTGATGCAGGCTCAGCAGGTGACAACATTACACACAAAGTTTTTAAAGCCAGAAACACTGAAGAACCAGAGAGGACTGTAAGAAACTACAACTGAAATGGCCCAAAGAAGTGGAAATTTCTTTATGCAGAAAGGGGAAATAAGCAGCCTGCATAAGATATCACGTGAGGAAAAGCAGCAGTAACCAACTCATTAAACATTTAATTTCACGTCATATCATTGCACCACTTCTGCATGGTTTGAGACCAAGAGACTGAGCCGTTGTGAGCAGCCATGCTAGCTTTGCAGTGACTCATAACAGTGCAGCATCTCAGAGTGGTTCTATTAACTTTCCCAGAGGTGGTGCCACAGCCAGGAAGCACAGCTTGTGTCTTAAGAGTCTGCAGATAGGCTAAAGTATTTCCACTAAAGGGCACGTAACTATTACTCATTGGCAAAGAGCAAGCACTGTGTTTGCAGCTGTTTTCTGTTTCTGGGATTGCAGCACTTAGCATGTTTGTGGTAGGTCAAGAGTCTTCAGCAGTAAGCCTCTGGCTAAGCATTTCCTTGTTAAGTCTTGTTATCGAGCACCCAGATAACATCATTAATCACTAGGTCTGTCACAGCCTGATCTAGGGACCACTGAACACTTGTGCAAATCAAAGCCACTTGAATAAACAGACACTTCCAGGAGAAATGCCAAGTTCATTACTGTTAGGAAGAAAGAGCTACAGATGCCATCTTTAAAGGGGAGGATTTGTAGAGGGTGGAGATAAGGTTTTGGGTTTAAAGTAAAAAACTGTTTTCATATAATATCTACAATCAACCTTTGACACAGCAACAATGATGGCAGAAATTAAAGATTGATTCTTCTCAGAACTGTAGAACTAATGGAGCTTGCCTCCCCACAGAAGTGCCCATAGAGGTGGATTCATGAAAGAGAAATCCATAGATAGCTATTAATGCACAGAAATCACTTCTAGCACAGGAAGTCATTGAATTGCAAACTCCAGAAGGCTAAGAGAGCATTCAGGAAGATATCAGTGTATACCTGCCCTAATTTAGCATGTTCCTCTAGACTTCTGCTTTTGGCTAATGTTCTTTTTCACAGAAAAAATTAAAAGTGTTTTATAATTTTTGACAGAACACAGAAAAAATCCAGCTAATAAACACTAACGGAACAGCTGAATTATCCCTGCTTTTCCTGCTAGAAGCACTGATATGACTCTGCTGATGATTTTCAAAAAAACTTGACATAGATTTTGGCCCATGGGTTCAAGATTTACTAAAGAGGAACTGAATCATACATGTTGAGTCACATCTGCTTGGTTCCCTTAGCCTGTCTTTGAGAACCAGAGACTTTTTTGTTTTGCTTTAACACCAAGTTTGAGGTGAAATCCTAGGGGTTTTCCCTTTTCTCTTAATTGAGCTAACCATTTATACAGTATCTGCTCCAAAACCTAATGCATTAAAGGCACCTAGTAGAAGTAGCATCTCAAATCCAGTGTTCAAGAGCAGATATCTGCCTGATCTAAGACCCCAGTCAATACTACCAACTGCTCAAACACAATGAATCTTGAAATTGCAGAGCTTGGGCTTGATATTTTGGGAACTTGACAGGTTATGTGTGCAACTCAAAGAACAGGAAGGAAACAGGTGGGTGGTTAAAACGAGAAAGAAATAGAAGTCACTTCCACTTTGGTTTCTACTGACAGACAAGCTACAGAACAAAGTAATTTCACTTCTCTGCCCTTATTTCCCTTCACTCTAAATTGATAATAATTTAGAGTTCACAGTAACTACTACATCTTTAGCTGACAAAACTTATCATTTTAAGCTACAGACAAAACTCTCTGGAAACTATCAACTACTATAGGATTTATAAATTGGGATATTTTAGATTCTCAGGCCTTCATGAGTCAATGAAACTTTATTTGCAGGCTGCTACATTTTCTCATCAAGCAGTCTGTTCTGCTTCTTGACAGCACCATGCAAAGCCTATTTTGTCCTGGTGATTAAATAAACCAGCATGACTTCCATTCAAAACAGTCCAAATGTAGATGTCTGTCCTGTTACCTTTGTGATAAAACATGCCTCAGAATTCCCAAGTTTGGCCTCTAGCTCTGTTTTGCTCAACCATAAACTCTGAAGTTTCAGTTAGGAACATCATAAGCTAATGCTTGCAAATGCACACTTTATGTTAGATCATTATATCCCAGTACCAATCAAAGCCTAGTTTTGTGCATCCTTAATTCCCTCCTTTAATTCAAGGTCATTGGTAACTCCATGAGGAAGCTGTGGTTACTGCTGACTTCCTTATCTAAAGTATTTCTGACTTATCAAACTTATTTTAGGGCAGCAATATCCCTTCTTTCCTTCTCTTCTACTACCAATTTGAATAATTATTGCTGGTTCTTCATGCAGTTCTTTGTGCAGGAGCATCCAAATACCACATTGTCCCAGTTTCCTTATTGGAATTTAAGAAATTAAAAAAAGAATAAAATCATTGCTTCAGGCTGACTGTCTTTTACCTCTTCCCATCTCTGGGACTGTACTTCCACAAATAATTGATAACGAGCACCTCATCTATCCTGCACAAGTCTCACCAATCTACACAGCTTTGTGCCAACAAACTTAATGTAGTTACAGTCATACCAGCAAAAAATTAAACCATTGGATTGAATTACACTCAAAAGATCTCTTCTGTTCATATTGTCTAATTTAAAAAAACAGCATAAAAAAGGAGTGAAGTTGCTGGACACCAGGACACCCACTTAAGTATCCAGCAGCTTAATGCAGACTCAGCCTACAGAGTTCAGTTCGCTCTTGACATTGCAGAGTTACATCTTTTTCTTCCACGCAAAATGTAGGTTTATTCTTTTCTATTTGCTGTGGAGTTGCTCCATCCTTCAGCCATACCTGTAAGTCTCTCATTTACCATGTGTACTGTGTTCCCAGTTCTGGGCAACTCCCAGCGTTCTCAGCATACACACTTCCTCTCTTCTAA